TCTTTCAAAAGTGCTTCTGTGCCTTATTTGAGTGTAAATGTGCTATTAGACTCTGCATCAGGCATGAGGTCACAGGTGAGTACAGATGACTGATCTAAAGTTTAAGCACAGTTCAGAACTTCACTCCTGGAACATTTGACCAAATAAATTGAGATTTTACAGATATTAGCTTATTTTTATTAATTATTGCGGTAAGACAATTTACTGACAGGTTCCAGTTATTTTAGTAAAAATCTGTGATCAGGAGTTTGACACTTTTGCAAGTTTCTGAGCATGAGAATTAAGCACACTGGTGAACACCAGTGCATAATTGACCATGTAAAATAGACTTTATTTGCCCACCAAATTTGCATTTGGGACATTCCTTAAGACATATATAACACACCTGCATTTCATCTTTAAAACAAACACATTATATATGTTATAATGTGTTTGTTTGGCGGTATAATGTCGTTCCTTTTCTTGCTTATTGGCTGACTGCTTACCTCCATATGGACGGCTTTTCCACTGTTACGTTTCTCTGGTAGCTCGACATTTACGTTGGCGGGCTTAAGATGCAGTGAACAGCTAAATGCGACAACGGGGTTCGAATCTGATGAAGAGCGGTTCCAGAAAGCAGTTAATACAAAACCAAAAAGCTAAAAAATAAAATAAATAAGTAAATAACAGGGTTAGAATGTGGTAAAATCTGAAAACGTGGTAAAAATCAGGAACTCTCCTTGGATTGCTTTTTAAAACACTGCGGTTGGGTTTAGGGAAGGGGGTGGGCCGCTCAATTGATGCTTTTTATAAACACTATTGGTTGGGTTTGGGGAAGTAGTAGGGTTAGTCAGTCAGTCAGTACTTCAGTCAGTAGAGAGTCAGTCGACAGCGGCTTCTGGTAGATTTAGACCAGAACATCACTCGCGAGAGAAATTTTAAATCTGAAAAAAGCATACAGCAGTTTCTGGTGGATTTGTGAAAACAAAATCTGCAAAAAAAAAGTGTATATAGGGGTACGTAATCAGAATGAGCCTGGGTTAAACGTATTAAATTTTCTCTAGTGTGTTTTTCATCTGAAACATACCTGAAGCAAAGTATTTTACATTTCACAAAAATAAGCACAAATTTCTACTGAACCTGGGCTGGGTTTATTAGTGAATGTTGCAAAGTCGCTATAGCTCATAGAATCAATGAGGGAATAGAACATGGAGGAATGAGAAGGAAGGAGAATGTTTTAAAGAGCATGTAAGTTAATATTTTTATGATAGCAGATCCTTTACTGTATACATTATTAAAGCAGGAAAATAGTAGTGACAGACTGTGCCTATACAGGATGACGAAGCAGAGCAGAGGGTGAGTTAGTACCACTGTAAGTGTAAAGTGATGATAGCATTAGTTGGAAAAAGTGAATTTTCAATCATAGTGCAGAGTTGAGAGGATGAGTGACCATTTGAGTTACAATGGAAGGAGACACGTGAAGAAGTATAAGCTGTGTAACAATGTTTATACAAAGCATGTTTTTCTCTTCTCAGTACAAAGATTGTGTACACAATTGACAGTAGATTTTTTTCACTGGGTGAAGCAATATCAGGGTAAAGAGCAGTATTTTGTAACTGAGTTTGTGTGGGTGTTTGTTTTGTGAGGTCTATTTAAGGCTTTAGTCTCTGTGAGTCTTTCGTGGAAAAGCAGCCATGATAAAAGACGTTTTGCTTTGCTTGTGTTTGACACTGGCACCTGTCTGGAGCGCCCCTGTACAGGACGGCAAGTATTTTTAAATACATTTATTTATATTTATGTAAATTTTTTTAATGTTCTGTTGGTGTACTGCATGTTCAGATTCTGGGCCAGTGGCTGTTTTGAAGCATGGCAGTGTCCGTGGGCAATATGTGAAAGCTAAAGGATCTCCAGCTGTTGTGGAGCAATATTTGGGCATTCCTTTTGCCCAGCCGCCTGTTGGCCCTCACCGTCTAGCAGCTCCACAGCCTGTACAGGGATGGGAGGGCATAAGAAATGCCACCGAAGACCCTTTGATGTGAGAATTTAAAAGCAACTTTAAGATTTGCTAAACATTTTTATGTTTTCAATCACTAATGTGGTAGTTTTTGAAAAGCAACCATTTTATACCATATCTACCCTTAATATGCATTTTAGTACCATAAATAAAGTTTTATCACCTAAAGAGTACGTATATTAGTACTGAAATTATTTGAAAGGTTATTGCCTTGACAACTGTTGCACGTTTTTACAGTTTAAAAATATATAAAATCAGGATTATGTAATCAAATTGCAAAATGTAAATTTTTATTCATGTGATTTCAGGGTTCCTATTTTACCCCTTTTACAAGATGTAAGATAAGATTTTGGTCTCTCCAGAATGTGTCTGTAAAGTTTAAACTCAAAATATTAATCAGATTATTTATTATACAATGCTAAACATGGCCATTTTGGGGCAAGAAGAAAGTGTAGCTGTTTTTGTATCTTGTGCTTTTAAATGCAAATAAGCTGGTTTTCCACACCCACCATTACCACATGTGTGTCTGTATCTCCTGCGTTCGGTCAGATAAACAGCAGTCAGTGACAGAGACAGGCATGAATGAAGCAGAGATAAAGTTTATTAGTCAAAATACCAAGTAAGGTTATTTGATGTACAGTTGAAGTCAGAATTATTAGCCCCTTTTAATTTATTATTAGTCCCCTTTTTTAAATATTTTCTAATGAAGTTTAACAGAGCAAGGGAATTTTCACAGTATGTCTGATCATATTTTTTCTTCTGAAGAAAGTCTTATTTGTTTTATTTCGGCTATAAAAAAGCAGTTTTACATTTTTTAAAAAACTTTTTAAAGCCAAAATTATTAGCCCCTTTAAGCTATATTTTTAGATAGTCTACAGAACAAACCATCAATAACTTGCCTAAATACCCTAACCTGCCTAGTTAACTTAATTAACCTAGTAAAGCCTTTAAATGTCACTTTAAGCTGTATAGAAGTGTCTCGAAAAATATTTAGTAAATTGTTATTTACTGTCATCATGGCAAAGATTTAATAAACCCATTATTACAAATGAGTTATTAAAACTATTATGTTTAGAAATGTGTTGAAGAATTTTCCCTCCTTTAAATAGAAATTGGGGGAAAAAAATAAACAGGGCATCTAATAATTCGGGTAGAGGGGGGGGGGGGGCTAATAATTCAGACTTCAACTGTATAGGTGGTGAAGTTTATTTTAGCCTTTATGCAATGATGAGTTACACAAATGCCATTACAAAGTTTTCAGTAGACACACACATTTAACTTTTTACTGTTTTTGCATATCCATTTGTGGCAAATGTGACAGGATACAAGTTAAAATATACTACTATATACACTGACTGCTATTCATTATGCTATTTTACAAAAAAAAAGAAGGTTTAACATCCACAAACGGATTCTTGTTGTGTGTTTGAAGCATTCTCATATATAGTCGTACTAACTCAGCTGTAATGATTCCAGCGGTTATGAAATATATGAAGTTTTTACTGTCTTTTCTTTATTACAAACACGCTCTGTTTTAAACACACTTTAACGTTGTGAGGTGCAGCTGATTACAAAGTGTTGAAACAGATCTTTTAATCCCATTTTCTTTGCAAATCCTGTTGTGTGGACATTTTTATACGCATTGCTGCGGAGACATGTTAATATGCGCCTATCAATCAATTTGGTGGGTATATGGAAAACCACACTCCTTCGTCACATTGAGGTGGGCCTTAAAACTGCTTGGATTTGGATTCTATTGTAATGTCAGAAAATATTAAAATAGAGACTTTTTTTGTTAATATCACTCCCATACGACAGTAAACACATTATACCTAAATGCAGGTCTGTCTAAACAGTTTCCAAAAGTTGATTTTGCATCAAAGGTGCCTTTAACATTTAAAAATTTTCAGAATTTATTGATTCGCACTATATTTAATACTTTAGATATAATATAGGTATTATATTTAACCTCCATTTACCTAAATTTTTTTCTTGCTGCAATGCAGGTGCCTTCAAAACCCAGATATTTTACCCGCGATGGCAAAAGCTATTGATTTGGAAGTTACAGCTATAGGGGTCTCAGAGGACTGTTTGTATCTGAATGTTTACACTCCATCTCAAAGAGCAGAATCAGAGAAACTTCCAGTGAGTACTGAACAACTGAATAAATGGATCTAAACTGGAGGCCATCACTTTAACTTTTGAACTTTTAAGTCACATAAAATGTTGTAAAACAAAAATTAAGTAAAACATATTTTATTATGCTTTATTGTTGATTTTTCCATGCCTTTCAATAGAAGAAAACTTTGAAAACCAACAGGTAATGATTTGGATTCATGGAGGGGGTCTGGCCATGGGTGGAGCTTGCATGTTCAAGGAATTGTGCTTGTATGACGGAACCCCTCTGGCAGCCTATGAAAAAGTAGTTGTGGTTGTCATTCAGTATCGACTTGGAATATTAGGATACTTCAGGTAATCATTTATGACAGAGAAATGCTGTGCACTATTCAAATAAAGAATGACAAATGAATTGTTGTAGCTTGAAGACAGTAAAAACTCTTCCTCTATGATGAGCTGTAATAATAACGTGCTTCTGGTTTTAGCACAGGAGATCAGCATGCAAAAGGAAACTGGGGTTTCCTCGACCAGATCGCAGCTTTACAGTGGGTGCAGCAAAACATTGAGGCTTTTGGAGGAGACCCTCAGTCTGTCACCATAGCTGGAGAGTCTGCAGGAGGAATCAGCGCCTCTTTGCTGGTCAGTCAATTCAGCAGCATTTTCTTTCATAATAAAAAAAAACACTCACCGACCACTTTATAAACGCACCTGTTTAACTATAAAATATCTATAAACAGCCAGCTCCATTGCAGAACTCATTGCATGTTGGCAGCATATACTGTAGATGTGGCCAAGAAATTCAAACTGAGCATCAGAGAGGGAAAGAAAAATAAATTCAGTTTCTTTAAACATGGCTTGGAGACCAGTTGATCTGAGGGTTCACAGAAAAGGACCTAACAAGGGCAGTGAAAAATCAAATGACAGGCAGACTGTGGTAAAAATGGCTTGTTAAGGTCAGATAACTGACAGAAAAGCAGCTTCTCCAGTAAGTTACCAATTTTTACAACCGAAATCTGCAGAAGAGAATCTCTGAATGAACAAGAAATCCAACCAAGCAGAAGACCAAAATAACTTTCAGTTCTCAAATCTATGCCACAAAAAAGCTAGCATTTTTGAGGGGCAAAAGAGGGTTCATCCTGTTGAATTCTGTATTTTATGATTGATTAGTTTAAGTACATTCCTTGGGGTACATCTAACCTTACTTTGAAACTAATACAATAATAGAATTTCTTTAAAATCCAATGCAATGGGTAAAATGTATTCTAAATATGTTTTCTTTTGTGTTCTTCTAGACATTGTCACCCATGACCAAGGGTCTGTTTCAGCGGGCCATTTTTCAGAGTGGGGTAGCAACTGTGAGGGGATACTTTGTCAAAGACCCTTCAACATATGCCCAGGTACAGTATTTAGCCAAAAACACTATAACTGCCCAACAATTCCTTAGAGAACTGGGAAAAAATATGTCAGATGTCAAGATTTTAAAAAGAAAGATTATTATGGTTTAGAAAGAAGCTGATTTCAGTGTGTTTGAGCAGGTGATTGCAAATATTACAGAGTGTGACTTTAGCTCTTCTGAAGTGTTGGTCAAATGCATCAAAGAAATGACTGAGGAACAGATCAAAGCGGCTCAAAAGGTAGGAACAGAGAATTTGGTTCTTTTCTTAATAAGAAATACAGACAGTTTAGCAATGAAGTAACACTTTACAATAAGATTCATTAGTTAATGCATTTACTGATTTGAACTAATGAACAACACATGTACAGCATTTATTAATCATAACTGAACATTTACTAATGCATTATTAACATTCAAGTCCATGCTTGTTAACATTACTTAATGCACCATGAGTTAACATGAACTAACAATAAACAACTGTATTTTCATTAACTAATGTTTATTAACATAAATAAATACTGTAGTAAATGTATTTTCCATTGTTTGTTCATGTTAGTAAATGCATTATTTAACATTAACTAATAAACCTAATTGTAAAGTGTGACCAGCAATGAACTAATGCCCACAATATTCTGTTAGAAACACTTTTTCCCTGGAGCAACAGTTGATGGGGAATTTATTAAAGCTCAGCCGGAGGAGATCCTGAAGAGTAAAGACTTTCAGAAAGTTCCAATTCTTGTTGGAACAACAAACCATGAATTTGGATGGATCCTCCCCCAGGCAAGTGTCATGAAACTTTTCGATAGGATGGTAAAATTAAACAAAAGGTTTATGAACCTTAGAATCAGTAATAGATTTGTTTGTTGTTTTGTTTCAGATTTTCCTCCCAAAAGAATGGGTGAAAGGGATGGACGCAAAATCAGCAAAAGACCGTTTGGGTCTTTTAAACGCAGATGGAGTAAAACAATTTTATCTCTCTCTTCCCAAATGGTTTATAGTGATTTATAGATCAAATTTAACACTATGTTCAATTGCTTTAACTCTATTAAAGAGCCCATATTATGGGTTTTTGAAAATTCCCCTCCATGTAGTGTGTAACATAGCTCTAAGTGAAGTGAAGTATCCAGCTAAGGCTTAAATCTGTAAGAATACAGTGTTTAAAACTGTTGATTCATCTATAAAAGAGTCGACTCATAGTGCTTCAAACGAGTCGCCTTAAAACCGATTCATAAGGTGTTTCGCCATGACGTACGAACGAAACCAAGTTATTCACGTGCACGCGCAAACCCGGGAGATTTCAAACCTGAGGCCCCGCCCTCTGACGCAGAAACCCAGACACACACGCACACCCACAAACACACGCACACAAACATGCCGGTCGATTGAAGTCACACTGCAGATGGATATTATATTGAGTCTCTACCCAAAGATGAAACATCAGCATTATAACCAAGCAGTTGGAAACTTCTGGAAACTACATGCTACAAAGAATACTTCATCTGAGTTTGTTAAAGGAAGGATCAGTAAAGAGTAACTGATGGACGTCAGGATGGGTTTCTTCCATTTCTCTAGTGTAAGTACATGCGGTTAAAGTTGTTGCCTCGTTGACTCTAGCTTGCAAATGTATTTAGTTGTGATTTGTTACTTGTAACCGCGTGTACTGTATCAGGTTAACTGGCTATATTCTCTTATCGCGTGCAAAGTCACGTTAAAAACGCGACGCGCGCTGCTTTGTTTATGGTACTCCGTGCTAGAGTTCTGCTCCCGCGATTTATTCGGAAATTTATTCCCGCGCCGCAGAAATCTGGCGCGGGGACAGCCGCGGGAATAAATTTCCGAATAAATCGCGGGAGCGGTCGGTAACGGGTTTAATTTGGGACGGGAGCGGGCTGTCTAGCAATATCACGGATATTGCTATGCGAATTAGAAAGAGAGAGTCTGCTTGGTGCTTGTGTGTGTGTGTTAGTGCGCACGAGAGAGAGCGAGAGAGATAGAGAGAGAGCGAGAGAGAGCGAACAAGCTTTGTGTGCTTTGTGCTGTGTGTGTGTTTATACAGACAGCTTGGCTGTCTGGACTGTATACTGGGTGATTTTTGGTTGTGTTCTCCTCCGCTCTAGCGGGATCGGGCGCGGCGGGCAGAAAACGGAGCGGGTTCTCAGGCTAAAACCTGGCGGGTGCGGGCAGGAGCGTTGTCGTCCGGAGGTGTGTTTGTGTGTGGTATGGCGAGTACACGACTGTCTCCTTCGTTCGGTTATCCGTGGCACTATCCACTCGCCATAGTGTGGCAGCTAAAATCCACGCCTACACTATCGAGCGTGTATGAACTGTGATTACTTTTTATATTGCTGATTAGCTATTGGCCATTTCACTCTCTGACTGAAGGCAGTCGACCAATCGCGACAGACTGTCATCGGTCCAATCAGCGCAGATTAGCTTCGCGCTAAGGAGGGGTTTGGGAACAAATGAATCACTGGACGATTCATACAGGAGTCGCTGGGATAATTAGGTAAAAATAAATGCAGATTATAAGACCATGAAAGTGTTTTTTGACCTTGCATGCATATTAGACTGTTGTTGGAGACCCTTACAACCAAGATATGACCCTATTTCATGTATAATATGGGCTCTTTAAAATAATTTGTAGTATTTGTCGCACTCTAGTGGACACAAAATAAACTACCATTGATACTATTCCGTATAATGAGTGAATGTTCATTGTGTTATCACAGGCTTCAGGAGCCAATGGAATCATAGCAGACGAATACTTTAAAAATGCTAAAACTCCAGAGGAGATTCGAGATGCATTTACTGAGCTGCTCGGGGATATATTCATGGTGATACCCTCCATCACAGTTGCGTCTTATCACAGAGGTTTGTTGGCAATAGTTATTTGTTTTACTGTTGATTGTAATCTTCAGTCTTCTTTTACTTTTGTAGCTTATAGAAAAGTGCAGTAAAAAGTTGTGAATTGAGAAAAATCTGATTGTGACCGATTTCGTAGTGTCCAAAAATGTTTATATACACAGTTGAAGTCAGAATTATTAGCCCCCTTTGACTTTTTTCTTTTTAAAATATTTCTTAAATGATGTTCAAATCACTTTTATTGTCACATCATCAGCAGGACGTGTGCTATGATAAGTGAAAAGCTTAGCTTTAACAAAGCAAGAAAATTTTCAGAGTAGGTCTATGTCTGATAATATTTTTATTATCACTTGTACTTTTAAGCGGCACACTTTAACATAAATATTTCTTAAATAAAAGCAGTTTTTAATTTTTAAAAATGCAATTTTAAGGTCAGTATTATTAGTCTTAAAATATTTACTGTATATTTTTGATTGCCTACACAACAAAACAGTTATACAATAACTTGACTAAGTATTCTAACTTTCCTAGTTAACATAACCTAATTAAGTCTTTAAATGACAGTTTAATTTGAATACTTCCATAAAAGATAAAAAAAAGGAGTTATTAAAAATTAGTTAGTTAAATTAATGTTTAAAAATGTTTTAATAATAAATTATGTATGTAAACACGCGGTGGCGCAGTGGGTAGCACTGTAAGCAAAATTTTCTGTAGTGTATGTGTGTGAATGAGTGTGTAAGGCTGTTTCCCTGTGATGGGTTGCAGCTGAAAGGGTGTCCTCTGCGTAAAACTTATAAGTTGTCAGTTCATATCCCAGATTAATAAAGGGACTAAGCCGAAAAGAAAATGAATGAATGAATGAATTTATAAACACCTCTAGCCCCAACGACCATCCTGATTTACACTCATGTTTATGATATTACTTTTGAATACATTTTTTTCTTAAGACATCTTGGCTCAAGATGTTTCTGTTGCACTCTGTGAAATCATCATTCTATATTTTATACTTAATTTTATATATGAATTTAATAAGCTTTGAAGGTGCTCAAATCTGATCCTCATTGCATGCTTCGTTTATTTCATTTAGTGTATGCCTTTCTTGTGCTTGGCTATTATTTTCCATAATTCTATATAATACCTTCACAGATGCCGGAGTGCCTGTGTATATGTATGAGTTCCAGCACGGGCCAAGTATAGCTAATAAATTCAGACCCAGTTTTGTGAAGGCCGACCATGCTGATGATGTTGGATTTGTGTTTGGGGCCTGCTTTTGGGATGTTCATGTCAAAGGTTTAGGTATGCAGCTCTAAGACTTTTAAACTGCCATTAAGGTTTCATTGGGTTGAAACTGCAAATGAAGTGTAAATGGTGCTGAAGTGGTGATTTGGTTGCTGACTCTTTATCGTCACAGGAACACTCACTGAAGAAGAAAACCAATTATGCAGAACTGTCATGAAATACTGGGCTAACTTTATTCGTACTGGGTAAGTGCTGCATCAGATGCTGAAAATAATATTAGTGTTTGTTGTACTGATCATTTATATTTGGTTTGTACAGATCACCAAATCCAGCTCCAGTGCCCTGGCCTGTTTATGACCAGTCTAATAAGTACTTGAACCTGGGATTGCAGCAATCTGAGGGACAGGACCTTAAGAAGGACAAGCTGCTCTTTTTCACTGAAGAATTACCTAAAAAACTAGCTGCACCTCCCACAGCTTGAACAGTTGATACACCAATAAACTTGGTACTTCTGTTATTAAAAAGAAATCTAATTCAGACATCTGTGTGATTCAATTTGATTATATGATGATTTGTTTTGTGTCCATTTTCAGAGAAACTTTTTGCAGCTCATTTAAATTTCTGATTAAAAATCTGTACGCTTTTTACAATTTCTCTGATACAAATTAAAATTTAACAAGCTTTAAAAATACTAAGAATGTGAAATTAAAATTAAATTATAAAGCAATTTTTGCATTCAGACGAAAACAAAAACAATACGTGTGAAGATATATTCATACGTAATGAAATTTGTATGATAATAAATTTGTATCAATAAAATTGATTTATTTATACTATTAATGTATTTATATACCAAATAATATGAATTATCAATCAATCGAATATTTTAATGTGTAATGACCATAGTTCAACATTTAGCATATGATTGTTCTACAACATACATTTATACATTATGAAATAAAGATAAAAATATTTAATAAAAAAGTAAAAGTAAAGTAGTGCATCAAGTAGTCTAACTGGGATGCATGCATTCGTAGTAAAAAATGTCACAAACTGTTATTACAAATATTAGAAAATAAAACTTTATAATATATAAAATTGTAATTCTTTGGGTGACAATTCTTTACTTAATATGAAATTCCTTCAAAAAATTTTTAAGTTAAACTGTTGGATTTGCCAAATTTGAGTTGAAACCACAATATTAGCCTCTTAAAGCCCAAGCTGTTTTTTACATACATTTTTTATTTCTCTTTGCTATTTGGACTTATTAGAATAAAACCTAAGCATCATCTTATGATATGATGTACTTTTAGTGAAAAAATGATGTCCATAAATGTGAACTCGTGGTCCGAAATCCCATAAAACACAACAAAGTCACCTTTGTGTAATAGAATGAAAAACTCGCCTTGAACACTGCAGCTTTATCCTGACTGTTTCTTTAATGCATTAATAACACATACATATTTTGAACATGTTTTGACTACCAGTAAAAACTACATTTTTTGCCCATTTTGGAAAGCTAAAATAGTGTTTGGGACATTTCATATGCTGCAAAACAGTTGCAGGATGACGCTGTATGTCTGTAACAAAATATAAAACATAAGAAATAAGAGTTAAAATGTGCTGTTCACGTATGTGGCCACTAAGCCAAAGTTAGAGTGCCGACCAGTTTATTTTATGTAGAAATTCTCAGCTAATCAGATGTTATTATTGATTCTAATTATGCATTATTGTGTGTTCAAATGTCTTTCTACAATGCATATAGCAGCCACGTTTCCACCATTTTGTGGTGATTTGCTTTTCATTTAGTGAGAGAGGAGACTGTTGGTCCCTCCCCTGTTTCTAGACCAATGTCTCTTCAGCTTGAACTGAAGAACTACTACTGTTTGTAGTACCAACTAGGGTTGTCGCGATACCATTAATTCATCTTACAATAATATACCAGCTGATGTATCACGATACCAAGTAGTATTGCGATACTGTAATTGATAACTCAAATTATAAAGAAAATGGTCAAAAATACAATATTTTAAGTTACAATAAGCCTACTTGAATGTAATTCATAATTCCCTTAGGGCCAAAAAGTATTATTTGCACCTCACTTCACCTAAAATGTATTAATTATTTTTGTTTATTTTATAAATAACTGACCAACAAAAAATACATTCAAATAAAGATACAAACTATACAGAATGAAATTAGTTACAAAAGTGCATTTTCCCAACAAAATTAGGCGATATGAAAAGGTCAGAAACTGTTTCAATGTTTGCTGTTGCTATTTTGAGTTTATCATATTGTGGTTTTTTTTTCAATCTAATTAGGTAACAATCCAAAGTAATTCAAAATTTCACTTTGTGGGTCGTTTTTTTTAACTGATTTCTGTAGTCGCTAAAAAAATCATTAACAGGAACAGAAATGATCCGATTCAGATGTGTGTTCGAACTGAAGCGTTAGAAAGTCTGCAATAGGCGACCATTTGGTACCAAATGGTTTATTGTTTGCACAAACGTGTGAGTATTTTAGTGACTTTCTACATGCAACATCGTCTATTGTAGACAGACCATTAATGACGATACAACCATTTACAAACTACAGTGCACCGCCAGCATTTTGGAGCCATTGTATCGCGATACTACCATAGTACCCGTAAACTGTGCAACCCCAGTACCAACCCAGGGTTGTTAACCGTTATACCACCAGTTATTCAAACAACCACTATTTTTACTATGTCAGTGTCATTGGATACAGCCTTTAACTTCCCAACTTAGTTACCTTCAAGCATTCTTGGAGGCTTTGTTCAATGAAGCCAGCATAAGACATTCATTTTTAACCTACCTGTGAAGTATAGAGCCTTTTAAACACTCTTTTACTGTCTGCATTAACACACACTTTATAACAGGTAAAGAATGAACTTTTTTGATAAAAGAGTTTACTAAAGTGAATAGCTAAGAATAAAAAATGTACTGTTTGATTCTTTGATATGTTAAGCTGGCATTGAATGGACTTCTTTAATCAAACATATCAGGAGAGACCAAAGAGATTTAAAACAATTCAGTTATTTATACAGAGTGTCTCTCTTCCTCCTGCAATCTGCAGCATAGGGATTGTGTACACAACTAACAGTAGATTTGTTTAAGGGGGTAAAGTAAGATCAGGTTAAAGAACAGGACTTTGTACTTGAGGCTGAGTGATCAATTTTGTGCAGTATATATTGCATTAGAGTTTCTGTCAGTCTTTTGTGAAAAAGCAGCCATGATAAAAGACGTTTTGCTTTGCTTGTGCTTGTTTGTGGCACCCATCTGGTGCGCCCCTGTACAGGAAGGCAAGTATTTTTGAATAATACATTTTTCAATTTGTTTTGTTATTGCACAAGGATGTAAATATATATATATATTACTTAACATATGACAAATTTTCTACTGGTGTACTGTATGTTCAGATTCTGGACCAGTAGTTGTTTTGAAGCATGGCAGTGTCCGTGGGCAATATGTGAAAGCTAAAGGATCTCCAGCTGTTGTGGAGCAATATTTGGGCATTCCTTTTGCCCAGCCGCCTGTTGGCCCTCACCGTCTAGCAGTTCCACAGCCTGTACAGGGATGGGAGGGCATAAGAAATGCCACCGAGTATTCTTCCATGTGAGTCTAGCTATATATATATATATATATATATATATATATATATATATATATATATATATATATATATATATATATATATGTCTAGCTATACATATTTGTACTGTCTGAAAAATTATTTGTTTAAACTATCAATATATACCTTTTCAAAAGAGACAAGTTTGTACTTTATTCACCCTTTAAAGACTGCCGTTTAGTATCCTTAAGATAGATTTTGCCTATCGAAGAGAATGCATATATTAGTGGCGAAATTATGCTCAGATGTATTAAGGCTGCATCACTAGGTGCTTGATTTTTATATAGCTGTAGCCTTGAAGTACACTGCAAAAAATGCTTTTCTTGCTTAGATTTTTGTCTTGTTTCTAGTCTAAATATCTTAAATTTCTTATATCAAGAAGCATTTTCTAGACAAGCAAAACAGTCTCATTATGAGAAATAATATGCCAATATTAAGTGAGATTTTCCTTAAAACAAGCAAAATAATCTGCCAATGGGGTAAGCAAATGAATCTTGTTTTTTCTTTTGACGGAAGATTATTTTGCTTACCCCACGCAGATTATTTTGCTTGTTTTAAGGAAAAACTCACTTATTATTGTCATATTATTTCTCAAAACAAGACAATATGTTTTGCTTGTCTAGAAAATTCTTCTTGATTTAGGAATTTTCAGATATTTGGACTAGAAACAAGACAAAAAATCTAAAGTAAGAAAAGCATTTTTGCAGTGTAATTGGAACACCTGAATTCAATGATTTGTAGAGGTGTAATATATATTATACACAAAGTAAGGTCCATATAGACATTAATGAGTCCTGAACTCAACCCAACAGAACACCTTTAACTGATTTAGACAATGCGTGCAAGGCTTTCTCGCTCAACATCAGTGCTTGACCTTACAAATGTGGCAGAACAGGGGTCACCAAACTTGCTCCTGGAGGGCCGGTGGCCTGTAGATCTTAGCTCCAACCCTAATGAAACACACCTGAACAGCTAATCAAGGTCTTGCTATGCATACTTGAAACATCCAGGAAGGTGTGCTGAAGCAAGTTGGAGCTAAACCCTGCAGGGACGCCGGCCCTCCAGGACTGAGATTGGTGACCCCTGCTCTAGAACAATGGTCAAATATACCCATGAACATACCTTGCTTGGTTATGATTGCCTGATGGACATTTTAAGGTGTGCAATTTTAATGATGATGTGACAGAATTCTCAAATGATTAGAAATACAATGTTTTTATAGATGTGCTAACTATAGTATAAGCATGATAATTGACTCCAAGCTATTGAACTATTAGAAAATAATAGACGCCTGAAATGTATTCAGCTTTGCAATGTGACCGCTGCCACCCCTGATGTGCATTATTGTCATTTACAGTGCATCTGGAAAGCGCTTTGACTTTTTCCACATTTTTTATGTTACAGCCTTTTTCCAAAATGGATTAAATTTAATTTATTTCCTCAAAATTCTACATACAATACCCCATAATGACAATGTGAAAAAAATGTACAGAGACATCCTGAATGAAAACCTGGTTCAGAGTGCTCTTGACCTCATACTAGGGCGATGGTTCATCTTCCAGCAGGACAATGACCCAAAGCACACCACCAAAATATCAATGGAGTGGCTTCATAACAACTCTGTGAATGTCCTTGAGTGGCCCAGCCAGAGCTCAGATCTAAATCCTATTAAACATTTCTGGAGAGATCTGAAAATGGCTGTACAGTGTCGCTTCCAATCCAACCTGATAGAGCTTAAGAGGTACTGCAAAGAGGAAGGGGCAAAAATTCCCAAAGACAGGTGTGCCAAGCTTGTGGCATCATAATTCAAAAGACTTGAGGCTGTAACTGCTGCCAAAGGTGCATCAACAAAGTATTGAGCAAAGTCTTTTTACATTGTCATTATGGG